AAAATAATGGAAGGTTGGCGTTCCACAGAATAATACATGTAATGCAAAGAAAACATATTTCATCTGCCAGTGTATTCGAGCTACCAGAACGGAGTTGAAAAACCTATTTAAGATCAAAATTTGATGGTGTACACTGATGGCCCAGAAAGGAGTCAAAACGTATAAAATAAAATAAATGGAAATTAAATAATTATCTATATTTGATAATTATCTATATTTGTGCAATGACAATTGCGCATGATTCTCATGTGCTCATTTTTATTTTAATTTATTAGTTCAGTAAGAGAATCTAAGAATTCTTATTGATTTTTCAATTCTCGCAACAGTTAACGAATTATTAATTATTAAAAATTGCCATACTAATTCGACTGTCTATCGCTGAAAGCAAACGCACGGGGATGCAGCTGTCCAGCGATCGGGATTGTATCTCATCGTGCGCTTGCATTCGACGATAGGCCGAGCTAGTAATAGTAATAATAGTAGTAAAATAATAGTAAAAGTAATAGTAAAATAAACGGATGGGACTATAAATCGTTAACATGATCTAAATCTAATTCCTTTGTCACTCCCCGCTTGTTTTAAAGATTAATCAGTTCAATCTAGCATCGTACTTATAAGACTGCTCATCCTCTTCTCTTTTAGATATTCTATCTAATAAACATATAGCAGCAAAATTTTTACAATATCTTTTACAAACGAGCAAAGGGCAGCGCAGGATGTGCAAACTGTCCTCGCTTTCCTCTCTACACAATCGATAATTCTTCTGCTCAGTGAGAAGTGAGTATATCTGACAGGCATATGTCTTATCAAAGAGAAGAGGCTTATACCTATTCTCTTTGTCTTTTCTCATTGTCAACTCTTTCGTTCTGATCAGTTATTTGTTTCATGTTTCATTGATTGATTGACTGTCAGTAGCTCTTCGCCGTCTTCCTCTTCCTGTTTCAGCAATTTTTTTTATGTATCTTTACCCATGGAAAAGAAAACTCCAACAATCTATTCATCTGGGTCCCCAGTTTAGCCAATCCGTTTTTTTTATTTCCGAGTATTCCCAATCGAAGTTATCACCGCTTTGGCGATAGGCCGAACTAATGTGGCGATTGATATATCAACAAAAGAGGATTCAACTCCGATAATCTTGATTTTGACATATATTGAACATTTAACAGGTTTTAGTTGCTGATCCTTCGTTTAAAAGTTATTAATGAAAAAAGTTTACTGTTTTACAGGGCATCACGAAGTCTACAATTGTAAATATAGTTTCACATAGGTTTTTGATTTTCCATGCGAAGCGAATTCCTCTCTGATATGAGATGTACGGTTTTCCAATTCCTTTTGCCTCGGTTCGTATGACTTCCACTCCATCTCCCCTCCTGTTTCTGGATCTACTTTCCACGGGAAGCGAGGTCCATCCTCCTCTGTCTTGAGGCATAGGACGCTTCGCGTGGACAATCTTTTCTACATTTTTCTACACAAAGGAGAAGGTATTGTGCACCTCATTTCGCGTAGAAAGTTATTACATTAGGGAGGAGGATATGGAGTAATTGCTAGTACTCTAGCATATAGCAGAAATGAGATATGTTATGTCCGGAGGACTCCACGATTCTTTTCTTTCACGAAAATATTATCATCGAGCCGAAAACCAAACACTTGTGAAAATTAATTGAAAAGAAATTTCAATCTTATTATAATTATAGTGTCAAATGTAGAAAGATTAATAATAGAAATCAAAGAATGATATCTAATAGATTGATCGGGTATCTAATACCAAGTGAGATCGGCAATGGAGTATTTTCAAGCTAATAATAAAATCAGTACGAAATCTATATGATATCTAGGCACAATTGATTTCCATATTTTCTCTCATCTTCTGATTATCAAAGAGAAAGAAACTCATAGTATAAATTAAGGTGTGTGAAATGCACAGATCCGAAAGAGATAATTTAATTAGTAATTTGATTCCGCTTTGGAAGTGCATATTGGGTGAATTGATTACCGAAGGTGGCTCCTCCAGTGTAAAGATCCGACAGAGGGATGTCCTTCTTGTAGTTAAATTTTTGGATTAGGCTGCAGATTAAACGAAACTATAAATCACCGAAAAGTAAGTTCAAGGCAATTCAATTCATTAGATTATCTATTTGAAAAATTCAAAAAATTCCAGTTTTTGAGAAATAAACAGGCGCAGAAACAGCAACAAGCGCGACTTTCCAGCCGTCTAGTCAAAACCTCGAAAAGATATAATTTATTGCAAGTAATAAGACAAGTAGGAAATCAAATTGAGAACGAATTAAAAAATTTTCTCTCTCTCTTCTGACTTCACTAGTTTCAGTTCTCGGTTAGAATAACTTTCATCTCTCGAAATTTACTCTTCAACCTTAAAACCAGATAGTATCTCACCTGTCAACATTCAACTTTGCCTGAACTCTCTCAAAGTGACCATTCCTCTTACATAAATCATCCTTCTGAAAATAATTATTCATTTCTTCCTCCAACAAATAAACAAATTTACATCTCTTATCCTAATCTCTCTAATTAAAATTATTTAGAAAAATTATTTCCTCCAAATCTTCAACTTTTTAAATCTTTCGAGTTTCAAATAATCAGAGCCTATCTTTCTAGATGTTCCCCTAATCAATGAATTATAATCCTAGACTGAAACTCATGAATCCTTCTCCGTTTCAATAATTTCTTATACCCCGAACTAGCCTTTCTCTCTTCTGACTTAGAAACACAATATCACAATTTGTGCGCACAAACATTTGGATCTCTCCACCTTAATTGAAAGAATTTATGTGAATAATGAACAGGAGATAAGTCAAAATTATAATTACACTTTTCAAGATCCTCTGTTCAGAACTTCCAAAATAATATAAATCATCCGCGGAACACAACACAACATTTTACACTAAACTAGACGATATTTAAGTAAACTTAATTTAGTTTTAAGAAATTTAAATTATTATGTATATTATAATAGAATTTATTAAAAAATTTATTAAAGTTATGTAAGATTAATTGAATGAATTTATTCAAATCCTTGATTGCATTCCTCATCTTATAATATATATATAAGGTCACATGATCCTATCTCAGGCATAGGGAAGTTTCCTTGATCTAAAAACGATCTAACGGTCATACTATTTCAAAGCAGAGTAATTGCGTTCGACTGTAGACTTGTTTTGAAATTTAACTCGAGTATGTTCAAGTTGTGATACGCGCGATAAGGCATCGATCTCCTGTCTTGCCTGAAACGTCAATCCACGCACTTTTTAATTCCCATGAAATAAAGATTCTTACGGTTTTGACGTAACAAGTTATTTAAAAAATTTTTTTGACAGTTATTTTTAAAGGAAGGACGATCACTAACTATCCTGTTGGAGATCACTAAGGTCATGATCTTGACAACATAGGTCAAATGTCATTGGAGTTGAACTTTTTTGTCGATTTATTCAGCGATTTTTAATAAAGTTAATAACTCGTCAATTATTGTGAAAATGAAAAGTTTTAGAGGATTTTTCGACTTCATTTAATCTATTTGCATATGAAAATAATCCCAAATATTCTTTTCCAGGGACACCCTGTTTATAATTTAATATAGAATAGAGCGGAGTTTTTTCGTTCATTTTTCGATGTTTATACTTCTGAACAGCAAAAAATAATTATTTAAAGATTGTGCTTTCAAGAAACAATTATGATTATATAACGTAATTATAAGTACGTTATTGTACAGATATTGTTTATCATCGAAAATGTACTATCGTATTACTTTAAAGCTAAAACTGATGAAATAGTTCCGCTCTACTATACCTTATAATACTAATAGAAAATAAAGTGAATGTATTACTAAAACAAAAAATATATTCAGAAGAGTTCATAAAAGTTTATACTTGTATATATATAATTTTAGTATAGTGTTTTCTGTATGTGTGTGTGTATGTGTGTGTGTGCGCGCGTGCGTTCGTACGTATGTGTGAGTAAAAATATTAAAGTTTATTGTTTGTCAAATTAAGAGCAGTCTCTGGCCTTGAAGGAAACTGAGAATATTAGTGTGATTGTAGACTGCTGTGAGCTGATTTTAGCAAGACATGCATTGACTGTAAAAGTATATGCGTTGATAATTAGGAATAAAAAAATAATAGCAAACATATTAATCACGTGTAGTACAGTTTCTATATATTTTCTTTCTATATTTTCTCAAAAATGTTAAAAATTTTAATTTTCTTAAAAATGTTCTTAGAAAGAATATTTCTTGTTAATAAATTATTATCCTTCAATTTATCTTAATCTACTTTAATATATGTTTAAACATTATAAACATTATATATGTTTAAACATACATGATATCCAGCAAAATCTGGTCAATTTAAGGATAATTCTAAGATATTCCAAATAAAAATCCTGATTTTTTTCAGGATTTATCTATTGATCAATTTTCATTATTTAATTAATTTTCATCGATTCGTGCAATATTATGCTTTGTATTGAAGTTAGAATTCTATACGAATGAATAAAACGGTAACAAATTGAGAACAATAAAGACCACTAGACATCACGTATTATACAAATAAATTTTCACAGTATTTTTAAATAAACTATTTTTTCTAAATTGTATAGAAATAAATATTCTAAAAAATAAATAGTTTATTATCTTAAATGACAAATACTACAGCATATAAAGAATCTTAACTTTGTAAAATTTTATGCAATACACGTGAACATATTGCTAATACTTTTTTAGAAAGCAGTCTTTTGAAACATACATCTCGTTTAAATACTATAACAGCATTATGTAACGTCTCTTACTATTATAGTGGCTATATTAAATTTGACATAAAATAAGAAAACAGAAGCAAGCATAAATGTAACGAAACCGACATGTAAGAACTAGAAGTATCAACTTAAAAAATCGAAAGTATTTGGCTACTGTATATACCTCTGTAAATAATACTTGAAATCTAAGATAACATATAACAAATAATGTGAAATATTTAATGATTACTTACTTCGCAAAACCGATGAAATCTTCATGATTCGTATTCATATATGCAAGCTCGCAATCCACCAATAAGATCAGTTGCTCTTTACACATTTGCTCGCGCTGCCTGACGTATGTCGTTATGATACGTTCCGTTTCTTCTCTTAGTCTGGGATAACGCGACATCTGTTATATTAAAAAATTAGCACATAAAAATTGCATAATTAACTCATATTTTAATATTGAATTTTAATAATTCTTATAGCTTTTATCTAATATCTTATAATTATTCTTGACTTACCCTATCTGTACAAATGCGTACAACATTACTAAGTTCTTGCACGACTAAATCTACACACTTGAGACTTGGTTCTTTAAGTCTGTTTATTTGTTTTTTGACTATTGCTTCAAAAGCCATGTCTGGGGTAAACAATCCCACCCTGATGCCTATCATATTAAAATGTACATAATTGTTAACTTGTTTTGTCAATTGATAAAATCAAAAGAAACTCACCATGTATATTTCTGATGGCGAAAGCAATTTCTTTTCTTAATTCTTTTTCATCAAATTCCATTTTAACAATTTCGAACGGGAAACGCTCGTGGAAAAGTCTGTTGATTTTCGCACCACCACTGAGTTCCATAGTATTAATTTGTGCTGAACCTGAGCCTTCTATAGTTCTCTCGAAATCTGATTGAAGCTGCTGTATCATCCTTAAAAACGTTTTTCTATTAACTTGTGTAATGTAAACTATCATAAAGTATTAGTTACATAGATAGAGAGTCTTGATGTTATCTATCATTCACAACAAAAAACATATTTGAAGTAATCTCTATTATTGCATCACAAAAACCAAATTTATAATAGAAATGTCATACTATAAAGATCTATTACTTCACAGATAAAAAATATTTTTTGTTAGAAATTTTATTTATTAGTTTTCTTGTAGCAGAATAGTTTTATATCATCATATTATCTTCTCATTCTTAAAAAAAATTTGCATAATAAAAAATTGTATGTTTCTCAATTACTTAAAATTTCATGCAAATGGCAAAAAAACACTATTTTGATAAATAAAATTATTATAAACGCTATTTTGGTTAAATAAAACTAATAGAGCAAACACAAGGATACCTACGTATACATTTGAATTGATCTGAAAACGAAAAGCAAATGATCTAAAACTTCAAGACCCTCTATAAAATAAAAAATATTAAAAATGAAAAGATAAAGAAGAACTATAATTTCATTTGCATATTATTGCTTTATATATGAAGATACGAAGTATATTCATCAAAAAAATGTTGTTATTACACTTATGTGTACACACTAGTTATTATACTTATGTGACATATTCTGCTATAAGATACGCATTTGTGATTTTTACAATATATTATAATTTTTATTTAAATAGAAAACGAGCACTAGGATACGTTAAACTTGCAAATTATAACATTTTAAATTCACTTACTGTAACATAGCCTTTGTTTTGATTGCAGGATCATCAGGCCTGAAATGTTTGTACTGTTCGACATCTTTCTCTAAAGTTAACTGTTGCTTTTGTAATCTATCTCTTAGAGCTGGCAAGGTATCCCTGATATGATTCGTTAATTGTTGATTGAGAACTCTCTGCAAATATGGTGTACCCAATCTGTCTGCTAGATGACGATAAGACGGATGGCTAACAAATGAAATAAAAGTTATATATGACTAGAAAAAAAATTACATTTTTGTCATTTTCAGAATTATTCGCGCGTATACCTAAGAAAAAACTTTCGCTCAGCGGCTAAAGCATTTTTAATATCCTTTCGTCCTTCTATATCCTTTTGACTTCTATTAACAACACCAATATAACCTCTTCTCAATGGCAATAATTTATTTTCCAAAATATCTCTTGCATCAGTGCCATCGTCCATGAGATCCAGTTTAGTAATAACACCAATTGTACGTACACCTTAATAATATCGTGCATTAATGTTAATTCAAATAAATATTAATACCAGCATTGCAACTAAATACCTTGTGCATCCACTTCTTTAGCAAGTTTAAGAGCATCGCTATTAGCTAAATCAGTATTGGCTGGTGTGACTGCCAATATGAGACAATTTTCACGTTTGATAAATTGAAAGATCATGGCTTTAATTTGGGCTTCTATATCTGCTGGCTGATCTCCAATTGGTACTTTTGTAAGTCCAGGTAAATCAATTAATGTCAAATTTAGAACTAAACAAAGATAAATATATATTAATAAGTGATAATTATCATTTATTTTTTAAAACAGGCTTCTTATTATACTTACCGTTGGGTGAATATACTCTGAGATTAATTGGTATATTAGAAATGCCCTTATTACTTCCAGTCACTCTGTCTGTTTCTGCTTCAATTTCTTTCCGTACCTCATCAAAATCTACAAATTTTTTACCTTTACAATGCAAAAACTCTGCATATTCTGTAACATAAGAAAGAAAAAATTATTTTAATTTCCAAGAACAATACTTATTATTTAAGAAAAAGAATAAAATAAAAAAATTGAAATTTGATATAATATTTTATATATTTAATATTCATCATATTTATATTCTGTCTAATGAGATACAATTTACATTTATTATAATTTTAAAGGAAATATATGATAATTTTAAGGGAAGGATATGTGATAACTTGTTGTAAAAGTTCAAGAGGTAAAATAATTTTATTAATCTTGTTTTACTATATTCTATTATATTTATTAATACTATTTATTAATACTATATGTAAATAATAAAATACAAAATGTCAATAACTTTTCTTATGAATTCATTTAATATAATCAATGTCGCATAATAAAAACATTTTTAAGAAGAGTCAAACAGAGAACAGTATAAGTGAAGTAAATGCATTAGACATTAATACATTCCTTGCTTAAAAGAAAGATTTGCCATGAGGTCAATAGATTAACAAGATAATATTACCAGTATATACGAGAGAACTCTATATCCTTTAAATTCATTTTTTATATATGATTTTAAAAAAGTAACAGATTTCGAGAATACTATCAGATATGTAAGATAATTTCACATTGATTTGTATTATACATCAAATAAAATAAGAAAAATAATATAATATGGGCTACATTATGACTCACCAGTTGGGCAGTTAATCAATTGTAAGATGAGAGGTCTTCTTGTCACAATGCCTGAACCTCTAGGCAAGAAATCTCTGGAAAAGTGTAAATATTCGTTGTTATAGTTAACTTTAATTAACATTAATTTCATACAAATATTAAT